GCTACCAGCCTTGGAAACTTTAAGACCTTTAGACTTCACCTCCCAGAGTTCTTCAGCAAGCTTTGCTGGCTGAGGATCTCTGGGAGTTGAAGTCCACAGGTCTTAAAGTTGCCAAGGCTGGAGACCACTGGCCTAGGCAATGCCAATGGAAGCCCCTCACCCACCACCCACCTGGGGCAGCTTCCCTCTTCCCCCAGGAGGAGGAGGCTCGGTGGTTTCTTGCAGGCGTTTCATGACCCAACTAGGGAACATTATCAGTGGCAGGAGGAGGAAGAGAAGGAGAGGAGGAAGAGGAGGACTACGGGGTCCTTGGTGCTCTCTGAGCTTGGTGGTTTTCTTGCAAACGTTTTATGACCCAACTAGGTAACATCATCAGGGCTAGAAGGGAGGAGGGAGAAATGGAGTTTGCAGGGAGGGGGAGAGAGGGAGGGGGGAGAGGACTGTGGGGGTCTTTGATTCTCTCTGAGCGTGGAGGTTTCCTTGCAGGGAGTTCATGGCCCAACGTCATCACTGCTAAAAGGGGGAAGGGGTTTGTACTGATGAGGGTCCCTAGTCGGGTCACGAAATGCCTGCAAGGACACCCCCCCCAAGACCCCGCCCCCCCGTTTCAACCCTGAGCTACAAACAATCTCCATTATCGGAGAATGTAGTAACCCAGGAGCAGATTTAGCCGTAAGCCAACTGCTAAGCGGGATTCTGAAGTCTGCGGAGATGCCGAGGAAGGGGCGCCCTGAGGTGGGGAGGGGGGGAGGGGCTTCAGAGGCCGACCCAGAGACCCCTCCCCTCTGCCCTGACCCATCCCAAAATAGAAGAGCAGAAAGGAGGGGGAGGGTCTTTAAACCTCAGCATGGGCGAAGTTGTCAATCTCTGCAGATGGGGGCGCCCCCTCCCCTTTTTGTCCCCCTTCAAGAGGGTGGGGGCGGGTGGGGAGGGGGCTTCTCCTTACCCAGCAAAGATGGCGCCGATGTCAGCCAGGAACCACTCCAGAGAGTTGAAGCCCAGGATACAAACGCTGTTGAACCGCCCCAGGCCCAGCTGGGGGAGGAGGACAGAGACGTCAGCGAGACCCCCTCACACACACCCCCGGATGCTCCCCCTCGCCACCCCCACCTCAAAGCACCCATTGACCCCCACCCCTAAGCCAGAAAGATCCACCCCCACCCCCAGATTTCTAAGACCAGCCGGTGAGAAAGCCTGCATGTCCCCCCTCCCCAATTCTCCCCCCCCGCCCGATGCCGAGACCTTGAGGAAGCTTTTGGCGGTCTTGCGGCACTCCTCGTAGTACTGACGGAAGGTCAGCTTGGACCAGTGGCCCTGCTTCTTCGAAGCCAGCGCCGGGAAGTGGCCGTACTTCTCCACCGTGGCCAGGAAGAGGTCGTGGACGGTGATGGGGGGCTCGGAGCCGATGCCGCTCGTCTCCATCCGCAGCTTGACCTCCCCGTCACGTTTGGTGGTCCACAGACCCCCGGCTCCGGGGGGCGGCCCTGCAGGGGAGCAGGCAAGAAGTCCGTCCTGCTCTCTGACGGCCGAGGAGAAACCCCCCCCCCCCCCCGGCCGCTTCCCACCCCTATTACGGGTCGCCCTCGACTTACGACGACCAAGGGAGCCCGCCTGTTAAGTGGGCTTGGTCCCACTTTACCCCCTTTCTTGAACTCCAGGGCTTAACCGCATCAATGCAGTTGTTAAGCGAGACACGCAGTTGTTAAGTGAGTCTGGATCCCTCCTGGGGCTTTGCTGGTTGCCAGAAATCGGTCGCAAATCACATTCTCGTGACCGCAGGATATTGCAGCCGGTCATTAAGTGAGCCGGCGGCCCAGCAGCTGATTTGGCGATGACGGGACTGCGGGAGGGGTAGCCTGGTCAGTATGAATACAGGTCCCCGAGTCGCTTCTTCCGAGGCCGTCGTTACTTTGAACCATCGGACGGAAGTTGAGGACTAACATGTATTGGGAGTCCTCGACTTATGACCGTTTGTTTAATGACGGCCAACGTTACAAAGCGGCTACTGCGCTTAAGGCACACCGTGCTAAAGCGTCGGTGCCAGCTAGGTTTGAGTTTCCTGGTGGTCTCCTTTCCCCTCTTTTCCTACCTTTTGACATCTCAGCTTCGGGCTCCTCCGCAGGGCGCTGGTGCTGGTCTCTGCAGGGAAACCGAAAGAAAAAGCCATGCTAAGGGTCCCCGATGCCTCCCCCCACTCCGTCCCGTGGCCCACTACGGGGTTGCCACCCATTCGCAACTGGGCCACGTTAAGCGATGGGCCGCCCCCCCCCCCCGCGCACACACCTCCACTTGCAACCGAACTGCACGCACATGTGTGAACGGGGCAAACCGTCCCTTCCTCAGTTATCCCCCCCCCCCAAGTTTAGGGACCACCGACCAGACTGTCCCCCAGGAGCAAAAGGAACTTCCGAGTTCTCCCTGCATCCTTGGGGCCTGATCACGTTCCCCGCTTAATCCCCCCTCTTCCGTGATCTTGTCCCCATTGGCGGAAGGAGGGCTGGGAGGAGGACTCTGCGGAGGATTCGATCCCAGGGCAGGGGGCCAGGCCGCACCCTTGCTCGCTCCATGGCCAAAACACCCACTGCTAACACAAACACCAGAGCAGGGGTGGGGCCATTGGGAGCCGGCTGTTTGTTTGAGGGGTGGGGGATGCCGAGATGGGAGAGGGAGGAGGAAACCCGGCCCAAAGGAGGGAGGGGGGGGGCTTCCACAACCTCCAGGGAGCTGCAATCCAGCCAGGGTTCCTGGAGATCTGCAGAAGGGATCCCTCCAGGGAGAGCCACCCCTTCATTTCTACCCTTGGCCAGGAAGATGCTTCCATCTCTCAGGAACTTTTAAGACCAATGGACCAACTCCCACAATTCCTACCCAGGCAATAGCAATCCGAGGCAAGATAGCAATAGCAGTTAGACTTATATACCGCTTCATAGGGCTTTCAGCCTGCTCTAAGCGGTTTACAGAGTCAGC